ATTCACCTGCACCAAGACAGCTTTGCAAGAGATGCTAAAAGGTCTGCTTTAAGAAAAAGAGTGTGAGAAAGAGGAACACAGATACAAAAAAATGGCAATGAATAAGTACCTATCAATAATAACCTTAAACATAAATGGATTAAATGCTCCAATCAAAAGACACAGAGTAGCTGCATGGATAAGAAATCATGACCCACACATATGCTGCCTACAAGAGACCCACCTCAGAACAAAAGACCTACAATGACTGAAAGTGAAGGGCTGGAAACAAACATTCCATCCTAGCAAATGGACAGGGAAAAGAAGCCGGGGTAGCAATATTCATTTCAGACAAAACAGACTTCAAAAAAAGGGCCATAAAAAGAGACCCAGAAGGTCACTTCATAATACTCAAGAGAAGAATCCACCAAGAAGACAAACATTGTAAATATATATGTACCCAACACAGAAGCACCCAAATACATAGAGAAAATCTTGGAGGACTTCAAGAAAGATATTGACAGCGACACAATTATAGTGGGGGATTTCAACACCCCACTGTCAAAAATGGACAGATCTTCCAAACAAAATATCATCAAAGATACTGTGGCACTGAACAATGTCCTAGATCAAATGCACTTAACTAATATATATATAGAGAGCCTTCCATCCCAAAGAAACAAAATACACATTCTTTTCGAATGCACATGAAACATTTTCAAAGATAGACCGCATGACAGGACACAAAACAAGCCTCAACAAATTCAAGAAAACTGAAGTCACATCAAACATTTTCTCTGACCATGAGGGACTGAGACTAGGAACCAACCTCAAGGAAAAAATTCAAAAACATTCAAACTCATGGAGATTGAACAACATGCTATTAAACAATGAATGTGTCAAGAATGAGGTCAAGGAAGAAATAAAAAAGGTTTTGGAAACAAATAAAAATGAACTCACAACAACCCAAAACTTATGGGACACAGCAAAGGCAGTCCTGGGAAGGAAGTTTATAGCAATACAAGCCTACCTAAAAAAGATAGAAACATTTCAAATAAACAACCTAACACTACACCTACATGAACTGAAGGAATAACAGGAATAACAACAAAGACAGCCCAGTGTAAGTAGAAGAAAGGAAATAACCAAGATCAGAGCAGAATTAAATGACATGAGACTAAAAGCACAATCCTAAGGATCAATAAATCCAGGAGCTGGTTCTTTGAAAAGATAAATAAAACTGACAAGCCTTTAAGCAGGCTCATCAAGAAAAAAAAAAAAAGCCTTGACTGGTGTAGCTTAGTGGATTGAGCATGGGCTGTGAATTAAAGGGTCGCTAGTTCAATTCCCAGTCAGGGCACATGCCTGGGTTGCAGACCAGATCCCCAGTTGGGGCCATGTGAGAGGCAAGCACACATTGATGTTTCTTTCCCTCTCCTTCTCCCTCCCTTCCCCTCTCCCTAAAAGTAAAAAAAAAAAAAAAAAAAAAAAAAACTTAAAAAAAAGAAAAAAAGAGAGAAGACTCAAATAAACACAATCAGAAATGAAAGAGGAGAGATTACAACTGACACCACAGAAATACAAAGGAGTGTAAGAAATTGCTGTGAAGAACTGTATGCCAAGAAATGTGAAAACCGAGGTGAAATGGACACATTTCTAGAAAAATATAATCTTTCAAGAAGAAGAAACAGAAAGCCTGAACAGACCAGTAACAGCTGACAAAATTGAAGCAGTAATCAAAAAACTCCCAACACACAAAAGCCCTGGACTGGATGACTTCACAAGAGAATTCTACAAAGCACTTAAGGAAGAGCTAACCCCTATCCTTCACAGACTATTCCAAAAAATCCAAGAAGACAGAAGACTCCCAAACTCTTTTTATGAATACAGCATCATCCTAACCCCCAAATCAGATAAAGACACAACAAATAAAGAAAACAATAGGCCAATATCGCTGATGAACACAGACACTAAAATCTTCAACAAAATATTGGCAAACCACATCCAGCAATACATTAGAAAGATCATACACCATGACTAAGTGGGATTCATCCCAGGAATGCTGGTACAATATTTGCACATCAATAAACATAATACATCACGTAAAAGCAAAGACAAAAATCACATGATCATATCAATAGATGTGGGAAAAGCATTTGATAAGGTACAGCACCCATTTATGATTAAAACACTCAGCAAAGTGAGAGTAGAGGGATTATTCCTCAACATAATAAAGGCCATTACAAGAGACCTACAGCCAACATCATACTCAATGGGCAAAAACTAAAAACTTTTCCACTAAGATCAGGAACAAGACAAGGCTATCCACTTTCACCACTTCTATTCAACATAGTATTGAAAGTTTTAGCCACAGCAATCAGACACAAAAAGGAAATAAAAGGCATCCAAATTGGAACAGAGGAAACAAAACTGTCATTGTTTGCAGATGACATGGTAGTATACACTGAAAATCCTACAGACTCCACCAAAAAACTGCTTGACCTAATAAATGAATTTGGCAAAACAGCAGGATACAAAGTCAATATTCAGAAATCAAAGGCATTTTTGTATACCAGCAATGAAATATCAGAAACTGAAATCAGAAAAAAATTCCATTTGATATAGCAACAAGAAAAGTGAAATACCTAGGCAAAAACCTAACCAGGGAGGTAAAAGACCTGTACTCAGAAAACTATACAACACTGAAGAAAGAAATTAAGGAAAACACAAACAAATGGAAACATATGCCGTGTTTATGGATCAGAAGAATTAATATCATCAAAATGTCCATAGTACCCAAAGCAATTTATAGATTTGATGCAATGCCTATTAAAGTATCAATGGCATATTTCACAGATATAGAACAAACACTTCAAAAGTTTATACACTTCTTTATAGGGAAAGAAGATCCCTATAGGAGGGATCATAATACCTGATACCAAACTGTATACAAAACCACCGTAATCAAAACAGCCTGGTATGGGCATAAGAACAGACACATGGACCAGTGGAATAGAACAGAGAGCCCAGAAATTAACCCAAGTCTCTATAGTCAATTAATATTTGACAAAGGGGGAAGCAACATAAAATGGAGCAAAAATAGCCTCTTCCATAGATGGTGTTGGGAGAGCTGGACAGCTACTTGCAAAAAAAAAAAAAGACACTTGATCACCAACTTACACCATACACAAAAACAAGGTGGATAAAAGACTTAAACATAAGTTGTCGACACCATAAAAGTCCAAGAAAACATAGGCAGGAAAATCTCAGATATTCCACACAGCAATATTTTCACTGATATGTCCCCTAGAGCAAGGGACATAAAGAAAAGAATAAACAAATGCAATTTCATCAAAATAAAAAGCTTCTGCAGAGCTAAGGAAAACAGCATTAAAATGAAAAGAGAACCAACCGTATGGGAAAACGTATTTGTCAATGATACCTTAGACAAGGGTTTGATCTCCAAATTATGTAAAGAACTCACATGACTCGACTCTAAGACAAGCAACCCAATTAAAAAATGGGCAAAGGACATGAACAGACACTTTTCCAAGGAGGACATACAGAGGGCCCAGACACATATGAAAAGATGCTCAGTATCAATAGCCATCAGAGAGATGCAAATTAAAACCACAATGAGGTATCACTTCACACTGGTGAGAACAGCCATCATAAACAAATCAAGAAACAAGTGTTGGAGAGGATATGGAGAAAAGGAAACCCTAGTGTGCTGTTGGTGGGAATGCAGACTGGTGCAGCCACTCTGGAAAACAGTGTTGAATTTCCTCAGAAAACTAGTAATGGAACTGCCTTTTGACCCAGCAATTCCACTGCTATGATTATATCCTAAGAATCCTGAAACACCAATCCAAAAGAACCTATGCACCACAATGTTCATAGCAGCACAATTTACAATAGCCAAGTGCTGGAAACAACCTAAGTGCCCATCAATAAATGAATGGATTGAAAAACTATGGTACATTCACACAATGGAATTCTACACACCAGAAAGAAAGAAGGAGTTTATACCCTTTGCAACAGCATGGATGGAACTGGACAGCATTATGCTAATAAGTGAAATAAACCAGGCAGTGAGGGACAAATACCATATGATTTCACCTTTAACTGGAACCTAGTCAACAAAACACACAAGCAAGCAAAGTATAGCCAAAGACATTAAAATTGAGAACAGGCTGACAGTAATCAGAGGGGATAATGGGGGGAAAAGGGTGAAGGGTTTACAGGAACAAGTATAAAGAACACATGGACAAAAACAAGGAGATGTATAAACAGGGGAAGGAGGTGGGGATGACTGGGGTGGTGAAGAGGGGTGGGAGAAAAGGCAGAAAACTATAGTTTAACAACAATAAAATTCAAAAGTATTTAATAAAAGAAAAAAAATAAACTGGTCTCCCACAATCTACAAGATACTATCAACTCCTTATTTATGTATACAAGTTCCTTTCAAGACACAGTCCCATCCTCCATGCTGAGCCTCACTGTATTCATTTGCTTCACCTGCAACTTGTGTTCTGTTTACACTGACTGTTCTCTGAAGACACACACTGCACATAAAGAACTCTATGCTCACTCTTCTGTTCTGGCCAAATGGAATGGCCTTTTTACTACCCCCACCCCACACCTTCTCCTGTCCATGAGGTAATTCTTACTAAGTATTCAAATAGCAGCCAAAAATACCCCAGAAAATGACCAATACGAATGACTTCCTCCCTCTGTTATGCTTCCATAGCTCTCTGGACAAACCTCATTAAGACCTGTATCATTCTAAGCTAGTGAGATTTAGCTACATGGCTGACCTCACAGCTAGAATATATGTTCCAAACAAAGTCCCTGAAGACCAAGACCTTGTCCATTTTCATAACCGTGACATTTTCATGCCTTGCCCATTTCATAAACTTGACATTGAACATATTATCTGATTTATATGTAATTTGTGTTGAGTAAATGAAGGAAGCAGAATATAACAGGTGGCATGTTTCAAAACTCATTATCGTCCTTACCTACTCAGTGCAAATGCATAGTGGAATTTAATAGTATGTTGGTCGGTCAAATCACATGTAGGTAGCATCTCCAGTCTTTCTACCAGCTTCACCATTGCATTATAGTCCTGTTGGCAAGAGGTCCCAAGTGAGAAAGAGAGGAAACACAGATCTTCAGAGGATTTTCTGAAAAGTTATAATACAACTAAATACTCAGGCTGTGAGACAGCCTAGGTATTTAAAGTTGAATGTGGCAAACTTTAGTTATCTTCCAAACCCATGGTAACCAAGTTTGGATGGGCACATGGCTACCCAGCTAGAGACTACATTTACTGAAGTTACTTACAGCCCAGCAGTAGAGTTACCACCACCAGCACAGCTGTGGGTTAAAGTAAGCTGGCCATAAATGTACAAGAAGAAATCTTGTAGTCACTCACCACATAAAGAGAAGAAACATCTGAGTCCTTCCTATTTTACCAAAAATAAACAAATCCATCGAAGCCAGGGTTTCTTGGCCTTGGCACTATTGACATTTTAGGGCTGGATTATTCTGTATTATGGGGCACTGTCCTGTACACTGTAGGATGTTAAGCAGTATCCCTGGCCTCTAGCTACTATATGCCAGGAGCACTTCCCTCCCCCCTCCTCTGAGATGTGACAATCAAAAATGTCCCAAGAAAATGCCACATGCCCTTAGTTGAGAACCACTGCATAATTACCTAGGGGAAAATTGCTACCACGTTTGTCTCAGCTGGGTCCCCTATGAGTGGTGCCATTTGCTACCCTTTCAGCCAGGCTTAGAATCACTGCTACTGGCCAACTTGCTGACAGCCAGGCACAGCACAGGACTTCCCGCCAAAATCCCATGCCTGTTTTGTGGCTCTGCACCTGAATGCAATTGCCCAAGGAAAGGGAAGGCTGTGTATTCGAGAAGCTTCTGTCACCTTTGAACCTGAGAGCCCCACCAATGGAAGGTTATAAAAAGAAGAGGTATGTGAAGGGAAGGACAGGAGGAAGCCAGCAGCTTAGAAACAAAGACTTCAAAAAAGGTTATCCCCATTCTCTTGTCCCAGGGGGTGTAATCTAATCATTGTTATAATCCTATTAAAATCAGTTAGATGTATCTGTTTATCACTAGTGGCACAATGGATGCCTCTCTCTTTAAAGACCTGTAGGCAACAATCTTCAATATGGCTTTGAAACTATGCAGATAAGGTACTTTGCCTTTGTACATTACTCCAAAGGGAAGGAAGGCAAGGCATCCTTAGAAATGGCTCAGTATCACTCAACTTGGAGGGAGGACATGCCTGATTTCCTTCATCAGGGTACTATATCCCACAAACCCTGTCTCAGTAACTCTCCAAAAGTCTCTGACACCTGGCTTAGAATAAACATTTTCATTCCCTGGGTCATGGATGTGCACCTGCTACTTCTTTTCTCCATATCACTGATGGGTGATGGTAAACAAAGAAGGAAGTGACAATGGCCTAAAGGAAGCAACACAGTAGACGAGTTAAGAGCAAGGACAAAGTAGGCAGTTGCCTCAGTTTGAACCTTGACTTTACCAACTGCTGTGTGACCTTGGGAAAATCACTTAATTTCTCTGTGCCTCATGTTCTTCATTGTTAAATGGGAATAATCAGAGTATTCACCCCACAGGTTTGTGATGAGGAAGAAATGAATTAAGATTCACGAAGGGCTTAGACCAATGCCTATCTTAAAGTGCATATAAACTGTTAAATTCTGCATTTCTGGTTGTTTTGCTGGAGTGGCCATCTGATAGGACAAAGCCTTCTCCAATATTTATACCACAACAGATATACTACATGACCTGTGACCTAGCCACATAACCAATTTTGGCTATAAAACAGCTGCCTAACCATGTACCTAGTGTAAGAGTAGTTCATATAAGGAATGCCTCATGCCAAGGAAGAAGTCAGTATGTGTTTGCCTCAGAGAAGTATGTTTCATACCTGGGCATCGCGGTAGGACAGCAGTAAATTAATGATGATGTCTGAACTCAGAACTTCAGTATTATCTATGCGGAGTTTGATCCAAGCCAGCTCCTTTGCCAGTTCTTTGTCCTGGTATCTCTCTCTGGCTCTCTGGATATCATTTAACAAAGTTTCTTCATAATAGAAACTGGAGAGGGAAACATAAAAACATCAGGTTGCATCTCCCCGTATCCAGGTCAACTTAAGAAGACCACGGAGTGATCTAAATTTGTTGTCCCCTTTTCAAGTAATTTTTTCATGGAGATTGGGCATTGCCAAGTGGTAGAACTATCAACCCATTAAGTAGCTGAAATGAGTTAAGTATAGAGAGTAAAATTAGGCTCTTCATTTAAAAAACAGAGCACGCTCAATTAAATAAGTCTTTAGAAAAAGAGAACACATAAGAACTGTTACTTTTTAAAAATATATATTTTATTGATTATGTTATTACAGTTGTCCCAGTTTTTCCTCCTTTGTCCTCCTCTGCCTGGTACCCCTATTCCCTCCAACAATTTCCTCCCTTAGTTCATGTCCAGGGGTCATGCATGTAAGTTTTTTAGCTTCTCTATTTCCTGTACTACTACTCTTAACATCCCATCTATTTTGTTCCTACCAATATGTTTCTCAATCCCTGCACCTTTTTCCCCATTATCCCCCTTCCCTTTCACAGCTGATAAACCTCCAAATGATCTCCATATCTATGATTCTGTTTCTGTTTTGCTTGTTTGCTTAGTTTTTTATTTGAATGTATAAAAATTTTAGTGAGAATTCCATTGTTTTAAAGATAAACTGGTTTTATATCTGAACAGACGTATTACTATTTACTAATAGCTTTCACAGCTGTCAGGTAGCCAGAAACTAGTTTTAAAATTCTTACATTACATATACATATTTCATTTACTTTGCTTAGTCCTTTTTTTAGATTCTGTTGTTGATAGTTGTGAGTTTGTGCCCCTTTAATGTTTATAGTTGTGATCTTCTTTTTCCTAAATAAGTCCCTTTAACATTTCATATAATAATGGCTTGGTGATGAACAACTCCTTTAGTTTTATGTTGTCTAGGAAACACGTTATCTGCCCTTCCATTCTAAATGATAGCTTTGATGAATAGAGTAATCTAGGTTGTAGGTCCTTGCTTTGAATACTTTTTGCTACTTCCTTCTAGCCTGCAAAGTTTGAGAAATCAGCTAACAGTCTTATGGGAACTCCTTTGTAGGTAACTCTCTGCTTTTTCTCTACCTAATTTTAAGATTATCTCTCTGACTTTTGGCATTTTAATTATGATGTGTCTTGGTGTGGTCCTCTTTGGGTCCAACTTGTTTGGAACTCTCTGTGCTTCCTGGACTTACATATCTATTTCCTTTACCAAATTAGGGAGGTTTTCTTTTATTATTTTTTCAAATACGTTTTCAACTTCTTGCTCTTTCTCTTCTCCTTCTGGCATCCCTCTGATTCAGATGTTGGTACAGTTGGAGATGTCCCAGAGGTTCCTAAGCTTCTCCTTGTTTTTTTTTTAATTCTTTTTTCTTCTTGCTGTTCTGGTTGAATGCTTATTTCTTCCTTACATTCCCAATCATTGATCTGACCCTGGCTTTCATCCCCTTCACTGTTGGTTCCCTGTAGAATTTTCTTTATTTCACTTAGCATAACCTTCATTTCTGCCTGGGTCTTTTTAATTTTGTTGCCATATTTAACGAGTTCTATGAGCATCCTCTTTGAACTCTGCATCACAGTGTTTTAAACTCTGCATCTGCTAAGTGATCTGATAGATTGCTTATCTCCATTTTGATTAGTTCTGTTTCTAGAGTTTTGTTCTTTTCTTTCATTTGGACCATATTTCTTTGTCTCCTCAATTTGGAAGCCACCCCACGTTTGCTTCTGTGTATCAGGTAGAGCTTATTTGACTCCCTGTCTTAGCAGCATGGCCTATTATGAAAAAGGCACCTGTAAATTGTGGGGTGAAGCCTTAGGTAATCACCAGGGTGGAGCAACCTGCTTCACTGCTTTGTGGCTCTGTATTAGGGGAAGGCTTGGAGAGGGGACAATGCCACTGCCTAGTTTCTGGAGGTTTGCCTGGCAGTTGGCCTCTGCGACTGGCACCCTTCTAGCAGTTACCCTGGTGCCGAATCCCAGAGGGGATGGCTTTTCATACACTTTAAGTCTATGTGGGCTCTTTAAGCAGAGTCTCCTAAAGATCCAGCAGTTTCCTCTGCTGCTGCAAACCCCACTGGTTTTTACAGCTGGAAGTTAGCGGGCTTTATGTTCCTAATGCTGAAACCCTGGGATATGTGGTCTAGCCCAGGGCTGGGATCACTTGCTCTCAAGGTATCCCTCCTGATTTTTACCTACCACATGTGAATGTGTGACTGCCTGTTCTACTGCTACCATCTCTCTGTGCTACACTGCATCTCTGCCCCTCCTACCCATCTGGATGAATGTGGCTTCTTTAAATCTTGATTGTCGTACTTCCATACAGCTCCATTTTCTGGCAGTTCTGAGTGTTATTTGTTTTGATATCTAGGTGTAATTCTTTCTGTGAGTGCGTGAGAAGGCAAAGTGTGTTTATCTATGCCTCCATCTTGACTGGAAGTCCATAGCTAGCCAAAACTATTACTTTTAATAAGTATAAAACTATGGCAAATAAGTGTGTATATAATACACAGCCTGGTCCAATCCCGACAATAAGTCTTAAACATTTAAAGAAGGAAGTGATGCTCCACAGTAAGCACTATGATATAAAGATATCAGTGCATTGCTTTAATCTTTTATTTCCTTATTTGTCTATTGCTTATCACCCCAATGATAAGCAAATTAGCAGATTATACCAGTGTTTAAAATTCTTTTATTGAGCCCTGGCTGGTGTGGCTCAGTGGGTTGAGTGCTGGCTTGTGAACCAAAGGGTTGCCGGTTTGATTCCCAGTCTAGGGCACATGTCTGGGTTGTGGGCCAAGTCCCCAGTATGGGATGCATGAGAGGTAACCACACATTGATATTTCTCTCCCTCTCTTTCTCCCCTCCCACCTTTCCTTCTTTCTAAAAATAAATAAATACAATCTTTAAAAAATTCTATTATTGGGCATAAAATTCTATTATTAATCTAATGAGTCATTAACTGGGATGACAGCCATCATTCATTTGGTGAACTACAAAGGCATCAAAGTTATTAGGGGGTCATTAGTTTAGCCTGACAAATAAAAAGTTATACTTTGGTTTTGTTTTCCAGGGTAATTCTGAAAAATAGTTTTAATAAACTAAGAAACCTAGTAAGAACAGTAACTTTTAAGTAAATAAACAAAACCCTAAATTGAGTATGGCTTGAGGACATCATATGTGTAATAAGCACGCAGCCACTTCTGCCTCTGCCAACCAGGGAAGATGTTACTAATTAGTGTGAACTTGGAAATGGCTTCTAATCCCCTTTTATCACAGGGCTCCAGGTAGCCTTTATCAATTAAGAGTTGGCACTTGAGCTAACAACTCTGCCATCTTCATTATGGATGTTTGTAAATCATTAAGCACCATTTACCCTCTCACTAACCATTGTCAGGTATCTGCCAACTCAAGGGGTGGAATCAACCAACAGATACTTCAAGTCCTTTAAAATTAAACCAATTCATAAGAGTTGTTTTCCTTCTGATACATATACACACTGAATAAGAAACAAACTTGAGTCCACTTCCGGAAAATACCTTGCTTATCTGGCTGATTCAAGCTAGACTATCCCCTTGTAAGATCTGAGAAGATGATACTAGACTTTTTTCCTACACTTTTCCTTACTAAAATATTCATTTAGTAAGATGGTAGATAGCAAGGTGAGATTAAATGAGGTTTTCCAGGAATGTGCCACAAGAGTTCCCCATTTATTTTCTATGTTGGCATGTGGTCACAGATGTCTGGTTTTTCAGTCTTCTTTTCCCATAAAGTCTGTAGAAGAAACTTTGTGTCCAGAGAAGTGGTGATGGGGTGGAAAAAGAGAATGGACTGTTAACTAGAGTGTACCTCACACCAATACTACACAAGTTACACTCCACAGTTCAGGGAATCATGATCTGAGCCAAAGTGGGACATATAGTCCTTTACATTTCAAGTCAATTCAGCCAGTTCTTTGCATTTTTACTTGTTTTAGAAGGACAAATCCTTCTCCTTATGACATAACTTACAGAAGTAAATCCTTTAAATTGGCTACAAGTGAAATAAGTGGGTCCTTTGGTTAAGTAAAATCATTTTTCTGCCTTTAAATTTTGGAATAAGAACATTTTAAGGCATAGTTTCTTAAGTACTGAGGAACAAAGAGGTTAGCTGACTTTACAAGGATACACAGAAAGGAATTGCTTGAGCTAGGATTCAAACCCAAACCTGCCCACTTCTGAATCAGTATTCTTCACCTATCCAACATCAATCTACAAAGAACATGTCACAGGACATCCTGAGGTCAGGTTGGCTTCAGCTAGACTCCCTGCATCCAACCTATGCACAAAAACTTATGGCCAGAATGACCATTCTGAGGCAGCTTTAAAACCTCAATAACTGAATGTAGTGTGGAGGGGGGGAATCATCTTCAGAAATGATCTTAAAACACTGACTCTCAGAATATTAAGAAAAATCCTTTATATGAGAGATGATTATAGAGAAGTTGTGAAGATCACACAGAGAGTTGAGGACAGACACAGAGTCAATCCTGACCTCCTATCTCCAGTTTTATTCTCTTTTGGCTCTACCTCAATGGTCCAACTCAGTGTAGGAAACAATAGATTTCAGGATGACTTAAAATGATTGCCAGGATTCCCCATTCTCTTGACACTATGGTCTTTTCAGGGCACATCCATAACTGTGAAAGAAAGATTGTGACCAAGCTCCCAGGGTTGTTGATGGCTGAGGGGAATTACCATGAGGTCATGTGGATGTCCTTGAGGAGGCTGCTGAACCTGTCCAACAGAGGCATGCACAGGGAACCTGTGATGGTGACCAAGTCAGGCTGCTCGTACTCTAAGGAAAGCCTCTGGCAGTCACTCTGGTCACAAATGAGATCAGTACATTGTTTAACGATGTATGAGACGATATAATAATTTCCAGTATATTCCTGGAAAAAAAAACAAAGAGGTTTCACAAAATTACAAACTTTTAATTACTACCCCTTCACTAAGTTTTAAAGAATTTATATAGCATCATAAATAATTCATCTGTTCTTATATTTAAATTTTAAAACTAGTGGAGTTATCTAGGAATTTTTGCATAATATCAACATATCTTGGGAAACACACTTTTGCCAAGAATAAAAATTCAAATAAGGGATACTACCTATTCAAAGTTAAATTCATTAATCTCAGAGAAAACTATGCAAATGCCACGATCTCATATGAAACAGAAGCCTTGGGAAAACTTACAACATTGGGGAACTATTTACAAATACATCTGTGACATACATTTGTTCTTCTATTTGAAATTGGTTGAGTTTATGGCAAAAAAAAAAAAAGCCTTCACATTTCAGACTAAGAGGGAGAAAGAGATATGTGGATCAGTGAAGTCTAGAAGGTAAAACATCTGAAAAACTGAAGGTTGTTATTTTCAAAAAGCTAGGGCTACACTAGGGGTATGAGGAGCTCCTTAGATCCTCTCCCCAGAGAAAAAAATCGTAACTAGTTAACAATTATTTTTTAAAAACATTTAAAAAGTCACTATAAATTGTCTTGAAGAACACACTCCAAATGGAGAAACATTTATTCAAGCAAATTTACTTGGTAAGAACAATGAGAGTCTAGCATTTGAGTTATCTGCTCTTCCTCTACCCTCCAGCCCGAAGTGACAGAAGCTCTACTCTGGGTAGGGACAGACAAGAATATGGGGCTCCCTCTCACCCCTAATCTTCACTCTAGGATGATAACAGCATTTTCATTCACTATAGCCCTGTGTTATAGAAGCTCTCTTCCAGGCAAGTGTGGTCAAGAGGACCAGGGTTTCTTTTCTCTACCCAGTTCCCACTTGTAGGGAAGAAACTCTACCACAGAAACAAATAGAAAAAAATTAGAAATGGTAAACAAAAAGGTTAATATAACAAACTCTGTCAATATATACTAATTTTCCTTTCTTCTCTCAGCTTCTTTAAATAATACAACATTGTAAAAAGTAATAATAACAAAAGTACAAAACTAAATAACCCTGAACCTCCACTACAAGTAGGCAAATTGAAGGTCCAAGAATCCTATCTATTTGGACAGAATTCTTACACATCCTAATACTATTTCCAAAACAAACATTTCTGCTGCAATTTTGTTTATAATCTTCCCTTTAGAAAACCTATTCTTTCCAAATAGCAAAAAAGCAAACTTTGGTTCAGTCCTCCTCAAATCCTAAATAATGAGGTGTGACAAAGTAGATTTTGACAAATACATACACGCTCTGTGCTATCACAAACTGTGACTGAGGTGGGCAGAGCAGCAGCAGCAGAGGCTGATGAAGGCCTGTCCACAGCTGACAGGGCATCTGATCCTTTGAGCAAATATTTAGCCATAGAGCAAAATGAGTAGAACAAGAGGGAATACATGAACTCTCAAAGCAACTGAGCAAATTTAATGAATAGGACTGAGGAGACAGCAGGAATCTGGAGTCTTGAGAAAGTAAAAATAGTCCTTTGAGACAAAGTATATAAAACTTCAAGAAATTTTACAAAAAGAAACGGGAGGTAATAACTACAATCATAAAAATAACTACATTCATTGCTTAAAAAAGCAATTCATAAACTTCCCAATGAAAGCACAAGCTCTTGAATGTTGTACTTTTGTTTTTACAAAGAAGAAAAGGCCCAAACACCCTCAAATGATGGCACACATTCAGACTTTTGTTTGTGGGGAGACCAGAAATTAGAAAGAAAAACCACTGATTAGCATAATACATGTTCAATAGTGAACCAGGCTTGGATATTTGTAATTGTTACATTTATAAATGAAAACATCTCAATAATCAAGCTCATTAAAACAAATTTTACAAAGGCGGCTCACTTTCCTATATATAGGCACATAAGAAACAGTATGCTAGGCACAACAGTATGTAAACCCTTATTCCGAACACTCTTCCAGTATTTCCAAAATATGATTCTGATAAAGTGAGGTCAGAGAGCAAAGGCCACTGGTCTCTGACACTGTGAAGTTAGGGAAGGGTGGAATCTGTCCTTAAGTTTTCAGTTCCTAACTTAGCGACTGACATTTCCAGAAATTCTACCATCTACAATTTCACCACCATGAACAGATTGTCCTATATCATTACTAGATTAAATAATAAGTGTTTTTAAAAAGTTATTATCATAAAAGTTTGATTATACAGTATCAAATGCCATAATTTTTAATGCCTGCCTAACATACCATCTGGTAAAACTTATATATATATATATATATATATATATATATATATATATATATATATATATTTGAGAGAGAGAGAGAGATTATATAATATACTTTATATATGAAATATAGCACACTTTATATATAAAATGTATATACTTTAGGCCCTGGCTGGTGTAGCTCAGTGGACTGAGTGCTGGCCTGCGAACCAGAGTATCGCGGTTCGATTCCCAGTCAGGGCACATGCCTGGGTTGCAGGCCAGTTCCCAGCAGGGGACACATGAGAGGCAACCATACATTGCTATTTCTCTCCCTACCTCCTTCCCTTCCCCTCTAAAGATATATAAATAAAATCTTTAAAAAATAAATAAAATAAAATTTATATACTTTATATTATATATACATCTATAGTACTATATATAATATAGTACTACATATAATATAGTACTACATATAGCATATAGTACTACATATAGTATTATAATATAGTACTACATAGTACTATACGTATATACATCTATATCATATTATATATATCATGCATTATGCATCATATATTATATATTATGTATAGTATAGTACTGTGTATAGAATATATATTATAATGCATATAATATATTATACATATAATATAGCACTATATAATCTATAGCTAGTATATGTCATGCTATATAGTGTGTGTGTATATATATATAAAGTGTACTTAGCCATTTTCCTATTGTTTAACTTTGTTTTAAATTTTTTCTTACTATACATTGAAATAAGCGTTTTTGCATATGGCATCTTTATAATGTGGTATTTTCCTAAGAGAAGCTTTCCAGGACAGAAATTACTAGACCAAGTTCAAGGCTTTTGATATGTGTGGCCAAGCTGCAGTAAAAAAAAAGATGGAGCAACTCGCACTCCCACTGTTAACGTACAAAGGCATTTTAATTTACTCATCCTCTCAGCAGAGCTTGGTAGTGTTTCTTTTTTTCACATTTGTTAAGTTAGGTGGAAAATAAATACCTTATGAATATTGAAATAGGCAGTTAATATCATTCCAGCCCAGGCACAGCAAGATGGTGGAAAATTTGAATGGCCAAGGATTGAATTCCAACTCCATTCCATACTAGATGGATGACCCAGGAAAATGTACTTATCTACCTAAACTTCAGTTTTCTCATCCTTAAAATGGGGGCAATAATACTGTCAAATTTGTTAGGTGATAAAGGCTTAAATATGGCCCTGATACATGGTAGGCACACAATAAATATTAGCTATGTTCAGACCAGACCTGGAGTTCTGAATCAAGAGTTCATTAATTCTTGGGATTCTGTGGACTTCAATGAGAAGAAAAGTTATATCTTTGTCATCATTTGCCTTTCATTGAAATGTAGCCTTGTCTTTAATTAGAAATGTAGAGCCTTGGCTGGTGTGGCTCAGTGGATTGAGTGCCAGCCTGCAAACCAAAGGGTCGCTGGTTCAATTCCCAGTCAGGGCACATGCCTGGGTTGTGGGCCATGTCCCCAGTCAGGGGGCACGTGAGAGGCAACCACACATTGATACTTCTCTCCCTCCCTTCCTTTCTGTCTTAAAAAATAAATAAAAAATTAAAATACGTGTTTGTTTAAAAAAAGAAATATACATAACACACCCTAGTCTTAGCGGTGCCTGGGACTTTGTCACTAACAGAAATTATAGTTTTTCATATCACATTACAGTTCCTGCAGAGATCTCAAAATAACTGTTATACCTATCACTACTCCAAAATTATGATAGATTTTAGACCTGATGTATCTTTGATATTCTTATTTGAGACATTAATAAAGAAGCACATAAATTATAATATATACCTTTAAAAATATTTTGATAACTATGTTATCAGTGTAATTGGTCTCTTTTGTAGTCCTTTATATTTATTTAAACATTTTAAGGTATATTCTGAGAAGGGGTCCATAGGCACCTCCAGACCAATAAAGGAGTCCCATGGTCCCCTCGAAATCTAAGAGTTCTTCCTCTGGATTCTTAAGCAGATTTGTCCCATAAAACATCCTACCTCCAGCCTTAAAATATCAGTTTCTTTTGTGGGCTTCACATATAAAGATTTCCATCCACAACAGTTGCCTGCATTCTCCAGCATAGCCCGGGAGAGCAGATTGTGTCAGGGTCTCAACCTAATTTTCCAGTGGGTTCAATCATGGCCACTAACCAAGGATGCTTAGGACTTGCCCCTGAGCTGGCTCCTATGCAACATCAAGGGTCCAGGAAGGCCAGGGCAGGTAACCTACCACACCAGCACATATTTTTCTTTATGGCTAGCAGAAGGTAACAAAGTTGGTCAATAACAACACAAATTTTATAAATTAATTCTTTGGAACAAGTAAAATATGTAAGAATTTATCCCAACAGACTTCATAATGAAACTTTCAGCTTGACCTTTCAGAAAAAAAATTTTATAATAATACAATCATGTAATCAGTCAGCAAGTGGCCTACTCAGAAGACAGGAAAACATCTAAGCCAGATGGAACATGGTTTTACACTACCTAAGGGAAACTGATTGCTGAGCACTTATGAATAATATAGACATTGATTGCTGCAGAATGTGGAACCATGGAGCTTGTATCTTACAATGCAAAAGGGTTGCAAATCATTAGTGAAAACAGAAAGTAAAAAAGCACAGAAAATTGATCCCAAGAGAACTTAGGGAGCTAATGAACAATAATTTTTTAAAAATTATTTAACATGACTATGTATGACAAAGTCAATTTACTAAGAAAGAAAATTCAAATGGGGTGCTGCACTAAAAAATGATTACAAGGTTTAAGCTTAATAGATATAAATCTCTAGTCAATTAAAGGACAGTTTTTAAAATCAGCACACATGCAATTAGGGAAATACATTTTTAACAAAGATCAAGCAAATACCACATTACAATGCTACTTTTCTGTATTTATTTGGTCATAAAAGGAACAAATATACAAAAGGTAAATAACAATTTCAACTGGATAACTGGGCTATTTTGCCACTTAAAGGTAAATGAAGATATTCTTGTTGAAGACATGCCATGTAGTGCCAACCGAGCTACTGCAATCATCCATCTGCTTTGTTCAAACAACCCAGTGGCTATCATAAAGACAGAATTATTTCAGGGCTGGCATGAATCTCAGTAATTACCTGATTAATCTCATTTTATAGAGGAGGTAAAAACTGAGATGCAGCAAGATTTACTAACTGGCCCACAGAAAACCATAGAGCCAAGGAAATATGATGTCCTCCTCCCTCCTTCTCAGGATTCTTGTCACTGCCATTCCAGCTTAATTCTGAAATATCCTTAACTAAAGAATAAAGTCATGAACAAAAAACAAAATACCCAAAACATGAGTGAATTGTGACTATTACGGTATGTAAATTACATATCGATGTAAAGGAAATGAATGGGTATCACAGTATACCAAAGACTTATTGAATTGGCAACAGAAATTAAATATTTATATTTTGGTTCTGACATTGGCCCTGTGAAATGTGACATTACTCCTGTGACAATCAAAAGGTACAGAGAAAAGTTTTGTGGTTCATACTTCCAGGGTACACCAAAAGGCATGTAGGGAAAAAAAACCATAAAAACCACTTGAACAAAAAATTTAAGATGAGATAAAAAAATTTTTTTAAATAGCTACACTAATGAAATGAATATTCAAAAGGCACATTTTTTACATAAGTTGTATTCTATGTATAAAATAAAATTCTCCCTGGCTGGTGTAGCTCAGTGGATTGAGCGGGGGCCTGCGAACCAAAAGATCGAGGTTCAATTCCTCATCAGGGCACATGCCTGGGTTGCAGGCCAGTTCCCAGCAGGGGACTCACAAGAGGCAACCATACATTGATATTTCTCTCCTTCTCTCCTTCCCTTCCCTTCTAAAGATAAATAAATAAATTTAAAAAATAAAATAAAATTCTCCATCTACTATGGGATATAGCCTTCTTGTTTGAAATCGGGCCTTCATTATTAAAAGTGGTAGAAATTCTGATTCTGAACTCAGAAAACCCAAAAGATAAAGAAAGAAGAAATTTAACTGTCCTTTCACCAAAGTGTCCCTAAGCAATCTATATCATCTTTGATCATTCTTGATCTCAAGCCATAGCAAACTGAAGAAGGCAGGTAAGAAGGACCAGGATATACTGTTACTCTCAACTCCGGGCCTAATTGTGGTTGTTAAACCAGGCAAAAGACTTCCAGTATTACAGACAATGCACCCAATATTGCCAATGTCTGTTTCTCAAAGGATTTCCAATTCATTAGGATAACACAGATAGCTATTTTGATTGGAACAATGAGTTCATATTAAATTTCATTGGCTTTCCAGAAAAAAATAATCACCTGGTCCAAGGATCAGAGAACCACATTAGCTTTTTAATAAGGTGTTTTTTAATAATATCCTAGCTTGGAAATTTAACTCTCCTTTTTAAAAACCATGAACTCTGGCTTTAGGACACGACAAATGAAAATAAGGACTAATATACTTAAAACAATTCCTTCTACAAGTATTGGGTGGAATATCTCATCTTCTAGTAATTTCCCTTGGGGAAAGGACAGGTATTATGTCCCTATGTTTCCTCTCTGGCAAGATAATCACCCACCGATTTAGTGGAAAAAGTTTCCTGTGCTTCCTAGCCTTGGAGATACATTCATTAGTCTTGGGCCACATATGACTTATGTATTTCTCAAATCAATTGATTACAATGTGGTGGATACTCAGGCACACACTCAGATCCCCCTTCAAATAAGGACCCAGCTGCTGAGAGTGCTGCAGTCACCAGCCCCTGCTGTCAGACCCTTGAAGAAATGCCTCAGTTGCAGGGAATACCTCATCCAAGGTCACACTCCTTGTGAGGAATAGATGAAGGAATATAAAAGCCTGACCAACTTAAGCCATTCCAGCTCCAGAGCGCCCCATGGGGTCAGCCAAGGTTGTCATTGAGCCTGTACCGCAGCTTGATCTCTCCCTCTGCCTATTCCTGCTTCCTTCTCTCCTCTCCTCTTCCTCAGCATTGATTCCAAGGGCACTCCTTACTAAATCTGTTCACTAAACTCAGTCTAAAAGGCTGCTTCCAGGGGAAAATCAACCTGTGACATATACATACCATAACTTTGAAGGTATGGTTATATTTTGCAAAGGAAAATTAATACAAAGGTAAAGAATATCTATGGACTATATACACTATCACAAACTACCAGAAGGTTCCAAGGTTTAACAGATAGGTTTAACACCAACTCAGCTCAGAAGGAGACTGCTGATGGTTCCAGGATCAAAGTACGCAGGAAAGAACAAGTGCACTTGCCCAACCCTGTCCTCTGCCCCACAGCCTGGATGGCTAAGTGGAGCCAGAGCTAGTGGGCAACTTGAGGGACAGGAGGTTCTAGTTATCCCCCTTAGCAACACAACCAACACATACAATTAGAAATCACTCTGCCTTCTGTGGGATTTTCAAGCAATTGTTTTATGCATTTTTACATTTACAAAGTTAAAAATCTGAAAATACTTACTGAGTTTTTATGAGTTATCATATCCTGAAAAGAAAAAGAAAAGATAAACTGAATATTGTGTTTTTTCCAAAGCAGTTAATTTCAGTAAGCAACTAATTTGTCTCACCCTATCATCCAGGTTAAATCATTTGAAACCTGCCCCACACAAAGCTTCAAATAAAATAAGCCTCTGAGAATCGTAAAATTCATTTCTAAGGAAAATTTAGAATAATTGGTTAGTTTTGGAACTACTAGGGGGCATATATGGTTCTAAGAATTTTCTCATAACAACAGCAATGCTTTTATTCCAAGAGAGTCTGAGATTCAAGTGTGGGGTTCTTAATGCCCTACAACTTCCCAGTGAGGAATGTCAGTGACAGCAAGAAGTACATGGGAAGCACGATGGTATCCTCGGGTCTGAACCACTTCTTGACTCGTCAAAGTGAAGGCTGTAGGCCACCCTCACGAATAGCTTTCCTATGGAAGGGGTGTCACTGGTAGAATTCCTGACCCCTTACTATAGTTGTCTAGAAATTTTCCAAATCAATGACAACAACTTTAGTCAGTTAACTTAGCATGTTTGTACAGTCCTTGATAGTATCATTTATGCACCAGAAACCAACATTTGCCAAAAAACATACATAATCAGAGCTACCCAAAAAATGTTTTTTATATATTCTGAGATTTCTATTTTCTGATGACAAATGCAGATTGCTTTTTCTGGCACTGGATATAATTGACTACTCAGTCCCATTTTAGGATATATTATTCTATATAATTAAAAATTTAAACTTATCTAGGCCATGGGACTTTCCAGGAGTTCACTGAGGCACAGCTGAGAAAAAAAAATTTTTAGGAGAAAATATATTCTAATTTCGTGTTTCACAGCAAAATATACTTAATGATTGACCCTTTCATATTTTCTAATTCTAATTACTTCCAAGCATAACCACCTTAGTGAAAATGAGTTAAAGAAGAAATCAATATCTAAAGTAACTTAGATTGGTTTATAGACTTTTGGGAAACTATTCTACAATGTACAGTACAATAAAATAGTTTCTTCTTTCAATGTTATGAATGACTTCTTAAAATACAACTGTGTACTATAATTACAGAGCATACACCTATGTAGAATAGATGTGATATATAACACACACAGGTTACACATCTGAAGGAGATGACATTTCTACCAGGAAATAATCCCCAATTATGATAAAGCCCAGAAAAATCTGGTTAACATCAAATTTCAAGAAATACAAAAATATCTAACTTTGCCATCACAAATTTATGATGTCCATGAAAGCTAATTCTGAACCACTGATTCTTACCTCTGGCTGCACATTTGGGAGGTTAAAAAAAAGTTCCCTCAAGACTATAATGTAGTTGATCTGGGGACTGGCCTAGGTACTGGGATATTTACAAGTACTCCAATTGATTCTGTGGGAGGGAATAATGGGGGGAAAGGGGGAAGGGTTTTCAGGAACATGTATGAAGGACACATGGACAAAACCAAAGGGGAGTAGGACCAAGGGTGGGAAGTGGAGATGGTGTGGTGGGGGGAGTGGTGGGGGGAAAATGGAGACAATTATACTTGAACAACAATAAAAAATAAATTCAGCGAGTAACTATAACTCACTGTACAGTTGAATAACTATTACTCAACAAGGTTGGGTAACACTGCTGTCAACAAACTAAGATTTTATTCCTGAAGTGATTTAACACAGATAAGGACTATCTGACCAACATTAAGATATTCAATAATATTAATTTATTAGCTGAATTTTGTAGCAACTTACCTTAGACATTCACATTTTACAAATATGAGCATTTTTTAAAATACTATGTTATGTCTGGGCTGGTGTGACTCAGTGGATTGAGTACTGCCCTACAAACTGAAAGGTCACCAGTTTGATTCCCAGTCAGGGCACATGCCTGGGTTGTGGGCCGGTCCCCAGTAGGGGATGAACAAGAGGCAACCACACATCAATTTTTCTCTCCCTCTCTTCCTCCCTTCCCCTCGCTCTATAAATAAATAAACAAAACATTTTAAAAACTAAAAAATACTATGTTATGTTGCTCTGACCAGGTGGCTCAGTTGGTTGGAGCATCATCCTGTACACCAAAAGGTTTTGGGTTTAATCCTCAGTCAGGGCACACACTTAGGTTATGGGTCCGAGCACAAGTCAGGGTATGTATGGGAAGCAACCAATCAATGTTTCTGTTTCTATCTCCCCCACCCCCTTCCTCTCACTCTAAAATTATTTTTAAAAGGCGTATCCTCGGGCAAGGATTTTTTTAAAAAGCAGTACATTATCCAGAAAAGCATTTGCATAAAACTCACAAAAGTACATTTAAAAATTCTCATTCATTACTGAGTTATGTGTAAACACACAAATTTTCAGTTTTACTCTGCTTTACATTGAGGGGAAAATAACAAGCACTGATTACATCTATGCCAAAACCTTCTGCCCATTTTGGTAACTGTTAAATGTTGTCTTATTATCCAAATTGAGCAATAATTTTTTTAATGTGTAGGTTTAGATCAAATTGCCCATGTAAGGATTCAGAGTGGTGTGTTTGACTCAATGGAAACTAACAGGAATTTTGGGCTTTGCTTCCCCAATGAGCCTGGAAACATTCAGACTGCCTACAAAACCACATCTGTAACACATATGCTCACACAGCAGCCAGGAAGTCTAGAACCTGTGATGGGAAGGAAGGAACTGCACAAGTAAGTCTTTATTGTTTCAACTGAACATATAATACTACTTTCCCAAAACAAAGTATTCAGGAGAAGGTGAACCATGCCCTTTACCTTCCATGAAAGAATAGTGTCACTGTCGGTATCATAGTACAGGATCACGTTATTGGTCATGCTGAAGCTTTCTCGAACTCCGAGATGGTAGAAAAGTGAAGGCTGTTTGGAGGTATCACTCATGTCCACCACGGCAATATCTGAGATAAACAAGGAGAGGAAAGGGTGTGGGTGAGAGAGGTGATCTGTCTCTACTTAATCTACTTCCTGATTATCACTAATAAGGAGCTTTTGCAGTTTGTATTTCTACCACCAGCATTTTAGGTAAAGCACAAGTGCGGAATGATTTGATTAAAATTACCTACCCCATGAACTCTGGAAGAAAAGCAACAAGAATTTGAAAAAATAAAAACCAAAAACTCTTCTGTGTTTAAAGTGCTGGGAATGTAGCCTCACTTAAAAATTGCTGGTGGATTTATTTTTAACGTATTTTTACTAGGAAATATGCCATAATTGATTAATATATCTAGCTTATATGCAAAGTGTAAAGTGAAATGAAACGAAAAACCACATACCCACCATGCGGCCCAAGATACAGAGCATTCATTATCTGTACTGTTGGAGCTCCACATGGCTCTCCCCAGTCATAGCCCCTGCTTCCTGCCCCAGAACACCTCTGTTGTGATCTCTGTATTTACCAGTTTCTTGCATATAGCTGTATATACATATAGGCATATTAAACATAATGTATGACTCCCTAAACTATATTGTTTAGTTTTGCATATTTTTAAACTTCATATAAATATCACACCATTTGTATTCTTCAGCTTGCTGTTTTTGGTGTGTCTACCCACAAATTGGTGTGTGCAGACCACCAATTTTTATGTCTAACTTTAGATCTTGCATTTCTACTTCAGCATAGCATTCCATTGGATGATGACTAGATGGCAATGTCTTTATGCAGCCTGCCTAGAGACATTTCATCCATTTTTTTCTTTTTCTTATTTCAAACTGTTGTAATGAGCATTCCTATGCCATGACCCCAGCTCACATGCCTGCCATCAACTTGACAATGTAGCTCAAATGCCTCTGCCTCTGGAGTTGTGTCTTACAGAGACCTACTCAAAACAGGAGAGTGACACCTCACATCAATATGTAACATATTTAAATTTTCCCAGGAATACTGGACACCATTCCAAAGTTCGTCATTTTTAAGAGCGCATAAAAGCTCCAAATTTGACTGCATCTTCCCTACCATATGCAGAGATTTTGGAAAGTAATGTCCAAACTTATGCTCACACTGCTGTGACTCACAGGAAGTCACTGAAAATTCCAATGAAACAGAACAGAAGCAAAGTGAATGAGGTGTGAAGAAAGAAGGTGTCATGGGAAAGTCACCTGAGTACCAGGCACAGCTGGCTCTGCACAGAGGCACTGGGAGACCTGAGGCCAAGTGCCAATAAGTCCTGGGTGGGCCTTTTATTCTCCAATTTATGGACTGGGTGCCTGCTATATGCCAGTTATCATGCTGGGTACCAGGGATAGAAGTGTGAATGAGGCATGATCCCTTTCCTCAAAACAAGTCTAACAGGGGTGACAGGAGGGAAATGGTGGTTAGAATCACCATGAAGAGGGCTAAAGAAACAGCAACAATGACACCCCTGGCTGGAGAGCAGTCAGGAAAGGCCTGGACAAAGTATTATTGCCTGGGACCTGAGGGTCCATAAGTCAGGCAAATCAGAGTAAGGATGAGGGGATGGAAAGGGAAGGGAAGGGAAGGAAAGGGTGGAGGAAGAGAAGACAGCAAATGAAAGGGGTCTGAGGTAAGATAGGATGTAGGTGTTCAGACCACTGCAAATAATTTCATGGGACCAGAACACCCAAGAAAATGAACCTGAAGGGTAGGTAGGGACCAGGTGGTGACGGGGTCTGAAGGCCATGTTAAGAGGGCTGCCCTCTCCTTTGAGTCAATGGGAAACATATGGTAGGGTCGTTTTTTCCCCCCAGTTTTTATTGTGCACAATTATAAATATATAAAAGTAGACAGAAGAATATAATAAAACCCCTGAACCCCTCTCAACTCCCAAAACAATTATCAACTCACAACCAGCCTCGTTTCATCTCTATTGCCAGCTACACCATCCCGTTCCATATTATTTTGAAGCAAATTTCAGACAGCATATTATTTCCTCCCTAAATATTTTATCATGTATAACTAAAAGATGAGAATTCAAGGAAAAATAAATGCCAACAGTATCAATGATTCACCTAAAATTAAAAAAAAAACATGAGGGGTTTAAAACAGGAGACTAACATATCCAAATTTAATCTTTAGAGGTGGTTGCTCGAGAAAAGATGAATACATATGCTGAGGAAACATTTTACAACCCATTCTAGTTATTTATCTCAAATGGATAACTGTTCCCCACAGACAGTTGCTTGGAGTCTAAAATCACACTGCAGCTGCATAAATTAGACATTTGACCTACATGATTGTTCCCTGGACTCCATTATCTACTCAAATTAAAAAGAATGTGTTTCCTAGTGATGCTATTAAGAAATGGCAACATAGATGCTAATTTCACAGCCATGGGGACTTCTATAATCAGTTAATAAAGGAAAGAAAGCAAGTGGAGAACACAGAGGAGAGGGATGGGAGATGGGAGAGGGCAGGGGTAAAGGACAGCAGCCCCTAAGTTATGCGGACCATTTTCATAGAAAACCTCCACTCTCGTGGAATAGCTTGTCACCAAATAGATTAAATTTTAGTCTGGTGACATGAGTTCCTTCTTTTCCTTTGCCTTGTCAGCATTCTGTGCTGGGACCTATATACTGGCCTCACCCCCTCCACTAAGGAGCGCCTCTGTAGTCTCCTGGGATGGAGAGTTTTTGGTGCCTAACTAACACAGGACAAATATACATTGCTACTACAAAAAAATAAAAACAAAACCAAACAAACAAAAAAACACCCAAGTAATTCATATTCAATAGGAAAACTGTCCTCAAACCCAAAGTTGACATTTTTCACTGACATTTGTCTCTCAAACCAGTAAACTAAGTTTATGTTGAGGATTTCTAGAGTAATGGTTAACCAGTTTTTAGAACCTCTAATGTGGCAGATTTAGAAATACTAAATTTGATTAAATAACAGATATATGAGGAATCAAGGGTTTTTTCCTAAAGAGACTATATATTACCTAAAAGCTTCAATTATCACAATGGTCACCTGCTTTAACATTTACAAAAAAACTTCCACAGACATCTTAGCTGAATTTCAGAACCACCTTATGAAGCAGGCAGGGTAGGTACTGGGGTAACAGACAGACCTAACGTCACACAGCTGGGGAACGACCTAGTCAAGGCTGGAACTCAGCCAAGTCCTGTACTCTAGTTCCCAGATGAAGCTTACTACTTTCAGGCCTCACTTTCTGAAATCAAGCCACTTGGGAGCAAACAGTTTATCAAGCTAAGTCATAGGCAAAGATCACAGATTTTAAAAAAAGAGGTGAAATTCAGATTTTTATTTGCAAATGTACCACATGCTCCCTGCAACTATTACTTTCCAGTTTCCATTGAAAGCCCACATAGACTAAGCCACTGTCTTTGGTCAAGAACACATACATCCCCACTAGCTATCTTGGTTTAACAAACTTTAAAAAGTGATACCACATCAGGGGATGCAAAAAGCCATGGCTCCTGTTAAAATCTACTCTTAGCAAAAAAGTGTCTGGATTTAAAATCAAAGGCCCTTCAAACAATTTAAGAATCAATTACACATGGACAAACCCAAAGGAAGGTAGGATAGAGGGTGGGAAGTGGGGATGGCTGGGGTGGGGGGTGGTGAGGGGAAAATAGAGACAAGTGCGCTTGAACATCAATAAATAAAATTAAGTTTAATTTAAAAAATAAAAAAGAATCAATCACAATCATCTGTCTGCTATTCTAACATGAAATAAAGATGAATGACATATTGGATTTTAGTTCATTAAAAACTTTTGAACGCTATATCTTGAACATTTTTGTGAAATGTTTTATAGGTAATAAGTAAAGCCATAATATTCTAGTGTGGTTTTAAAGCATCTGATTTCCAAAGCAAACATTAGTCAACAAAATGATATGATGGCAAATGATTTACCATACAGTAATTCTGTGATTGTACTGGCTCATACTAGTCTTAAATATATCCTAGGTTATCTATAAATCCCACTCCCAGGAGAAAAAAAATAATGAATATAAGATTGGTTGTGTCTAAATGAAAAAACTAGATTTTAAAATGATTTTTCTGCCAAAGGCATTTTAAAAAATCTGATTACACTTGTGGCAACACTGGCCATCCAAAAGCTGCCTAAAAACAACAGAGCCCAGATTTCTTGGACAGGAGGCACCTCTATTATTAACTCCAATCATAATTAAGATCTACTGCTGCTCATTTCTAGCAGACTTGAGAGCAGGTAGGTCAGTGGAAAGAACGTTGTAAAATATCATTTAAATCCAATTTTCTAATCTCATAAGGAGGAGACAACCTATCAATTCAGCATTAGGAAGTCAACAAATCCTTACCAAGTGCCACAATGGATGGATACTAGCTTCTTGCAGCATCAATTTTCAACTGGGAAGGTGGGTGGGAACAATAGGGACATCAGGAACCTCTACCTGGTCCCCTATGTTTTGCTTTCCAGTAACTTTTTTGTAAGAATGAAAAAAATCATTTTTATAACTTTGATGATCAAGATATGTCCACTACCTATTTTTTCAAAAGAAATGCATGTATAAGCAAACTATGTTTACTCACTGAGGTGAATGGACTCATTGGGGTTAATTGCAGACCACTCACAGTGAAATACTTGTAATACAAAATGTTAGCATGACTTGACTCAGTTTAGCTTTCACTTGTATGTGTTGCTCTTCCAGCTAACAAGGCAAATACAAAAACAAAAAAGTGAAGCATCACACTGCAAGCTGGGGTGCATCCATTACTTTAAGTAGTATCCATATCATCAAAATAATCTGTGATGTCACACACTTAAGAATTCTGACTCTAGGTTCCCTGGCAGCCTTTAAATACATCATCTCCATATTTTCATCATCACCTGAAGGTTCCTCCTCAGCTTCCTTCAACCCTTTTATAAAGCAATCTGCTTTGACATGACTCCCTTTGGCAATTTTTTTGAGACCTATTTTTTGGAAGGCTTCTCTGACCTGGTGACAATGACCTCTTCTTCTAACAGGTCTGTGTCATAGGTCACCTTTGAGATGTGAACAACTTTAGAGAAAAGTTAGAGCGTGATGTACTGCTAGCACACACTGCAAACTCTGAAGAATATGTATCTGAAAAGGTATTGGCACATCTTAAATGATCTATTTAACACTGTATGTTTTATTAGCATTAAAATATCTTTTTATATTTCAGTAAGTGTTATCAACAGCACATAGTTTTCTGTATACAACAGTCTAGCATTCAGTTAATATCCGATCACACTCAGTGGATTGAGCGGGGGCTGTGAACCAAAGGGTCGCAGTTCAATTCCCAGTGAAGGCACATGCCTGGGTTGCAGGACCAGTCCCCAGTGGGGGCCATGTGAGAGGCAACCACACATGGATGTTTCTCTCCCTCTCGTTCTCCTTCCCTTCCCCTCTCTCTAAAAAAATAATAAAAATAAATAAAATATTTTTTAAAAATCTGATCACTGTGGCTAATTGTCAAAGTCATTTCTGAATGGATCAGAAGCACTTTGAAACCTGGTTAAAATGATTTATCTAGTTGTTCAAATGCAGTTCAGTGAAACAAGCTAATAAATGTACTTTACTCATCCTGGTCAGATGGCTCAGTTGTGCATCATCCTGTACACCAGGGGGTTGTGGGTTCGATGCCCAGTCAGGACATATATCTAGATCGTGGGTTCAATCCCTGTTTGGGCTGTGTACAGGGAGCAACCAAGTGATGTTTCTATCTCACACTGACGTTTCTCTTTCTTTCTCTCTTTCCCCCTTCCTCTCCAAAATCAATAACCATATGCTCGGGTGAGGATTATTAAAAAAAAAAAAAGCTCTTAAACTTGTCTCATAGTCATGCTTTCTCAAAGTCTGTTGAATAACAAAATGTTATCACACCAACTGCCTTGAACCAATAATTTCTTAGAAACTCATTATGAAGAGATTTAGGGTATAAAAGAAATTTTGTTTAATTTAGTGAGATACATATAATAACTCAAATTGGACTACAATATTCCTTTGTTCATTGGTTCATTTATACAAACTATGGTTGAGAGAGATAATCAAAATAAGTCAGATCTGCAACTTTATTAACTCATACTAGAACGCACAACTTTTCCTCTCAGAACTTGGCAGTCTAAATAATAAAATGTGTTTAACTAAGTATCTAAATTATATTTATAAGATGGCTGGAATATAGTTGCTTTTATAAATATAAATCACTACTACCACCCTAGACATTATCAGAGTCTTATTTACAGTATTAATTTCTACCATCTATGAAAAAGGGTTGGCAGAGCAAACCTCAGACTAATGCCTAAGGAATAAAGAATGAAATTCTTAATGGAATTAGCCTGAACTAAGAAGACTTTACAGCATTTAGAACTAGAGGCAGAAATATTCCCCCGAGGGACACCTGTCTTTAGAATGAACATTGTCCACTCCTTGGGTTTTGCTGAGTCAACACTGGAGGAAATGTAAACAGTATTCTGGTTAGTAAATAAATGTTTTCTGGAATTTGGGGGAAAATTCCTTCAAAGCACAGGAGGGGGCTTGATAGAAACTTTACTGTCCTTCTCCCCTATATTTGGATACTGTCCCACTGCAGCAAATAAATACAGGGAAGAATCTGACTGATACTACTTCCAATATGTCAGTCTTACTTTATTGAATTTCCATTTCCATAATTGGGAGGAATTCTGAGGCTCCTTTCCCCAATTGTGTTTGATAATAAATTTATTTGGTTTGCTTTGTTGTGGGAGAAGAGTGGCTAATGCTGCTCTCCTTTAAAATTATGAAATCTGTTTTACATTTCTTCCTTTCCTAAAATTTTAACTTTTTGAAATAAAACCCCATTAATTTTCACTATATATGCAAACATTGGAGCACCCAATATGTATATCTTGCACTGATATGAAAAATAGCAAAGAAATGACAAGGAAGGGACAGGAAAGCAGGCAAGAGAAATAAAAATCCCTTAATTTTTTTCAAAGAAAAAAATACTTCCCCTCCCCAACAAGCATTTTTCTAGAACAGAACTGTCTAATGGGACCTTCTACTATGAGGGAAATGCTCTCTTTTCAGGACTGTTGAGCACCTGAAATATGGCTGGTGCAAATAGGGACTGGCTTTATTTTATAGCATTTTAACTAGTTAAAATGTAAATAGTCACTTGTGGCTAGTGGCTACCATAGGGGACAGTGTGGTTTTTCGAAGTTTTACAAAAAGAGCCAAAGTGACAGATTTGTATCTTTTGGGTGCAAATATCCAAAAACTATAAGTGGTAGAGATCAGAAAGCCAGGAGAGGTGGTGGTGGAAGTGTGTGGGGGGGTGTCATCTATTTAATCAATAAATCCACTTATTGGAGGTGTGTACTGCCTTTGTGAAACCTATGAAAAAAACCTTAGTTCCTGTAATGTACTGAGAAATAATCTATTCAAGATCAACCAGAGGAGATGCATGGTACAACCGAAAATTCTAGGCAATCTGGACCCAGACAGAGCAAGAAAATGCGACTTGCCTGTTGCCTAGCATTAGAATTGAAAGCCCAAGATTTCTTCTGACTGACTGAACCAACCAGAACAAAGGGCCCTGTTAGTAGATGAAGGCTTGTTACACACACCCGCATACACGCATACACACACACACACACACACACTCTCTCTCTCTCTCTCTCTCTCTCCCCCCCCCCCCTCCAGAGAAGCAAAGCCACCGCACACCAATTTTTCAGAGTTGGCACCAGCAATCAGGAGGCTACAGTTGTACCTAGTGGTAAAAGGGATATTTAATCGTTCAGGAAAGAGTCTGTTCAAACTCCAATTTCAGAGGTGAATGAAGAGAAGTCGAGGAAACTAAGTGGTTCCAAGTGAAGTGGGCTCTGGAAAAACTTTTCTAAAAAGATGTGCTGAACAGTATGCTCAGAGTGGTCAGACATGTCAGGAGACTGTTTTCCACGGGTCCAGCTGCCACTTATTTGAACAAATCTCACACCTTACCCTCTTCCAGCAGGTGAGGATTTACTCTGCAGAAAACAGAGCAGTGTTCCGTCCGCAAAGGATGAATGGTGATAAACTCAGCTTACTACTGCAGCATGGTGTGCCAGGTATATTAAAGAAATTCATCAATCATCCTGCCACATGCTTCTAGGTTTAGGGTAGGCGCTGTTACTTTCTTCTAACCAGTGAAGGAATGAAGGCACAAGGACACCTAGGTAATTACTGTCTCGAAAACAATGCTTATGGATATCACCCAAGTGGATTAAAAAAAAATGTACTTGAAAAGTAACTAAATAAAATTTAATTAAAAAAAAAAAGGAAAGAGCTAAGCAACCATCCATTCCACACTTGGAAAAACTCTTTGTCAAATCAACCAGGGGGTGGAAATGGGAGGGAGGTGGGGAGCAAGGGGCGGGGGAGGCTGGGATGGGAAAAATAGACAAAAAACTGTACTTGAAAAATAACTAAATAAAATTAAAAAAAACCAAATCTACCAAAACTCCCGATTTTAAGGCTTATGGCACACTTGTCATGCTTAGATACGCAGTATTCCATTCTCGAAAGCTTGTGCATTATGAAATAAAAGTCTGTCGCACTGATACTGGGGGCAGAAATTAAAGTGTGCAAAAGAACGCTGGGCATTTTAAAAAGTCAGCCGCTACCCCACCCTCTCTCGATTGTAACACACCAACGCCGACGGCGGCTGAAAATGGAATCACATTGGTCTGGCTTCAGGCGTTCTAGAACCTTCCCGGGTGATTCTAAAGTGTAGCCAGGGTCGGACCCCGCCGCTGTAAAAGGACACGCAGGGCTGAGAGAGTAAAAGTTGGATAAGCGGAGAGGAGAGCGGCGTTGTCTGGGTTATATATTAGCCGTTTCTTGGGTCACCTGATGTTTAAGGAAAGTGAAGTATAAAGAGGTCTCCGTGCCGGCGGCCGCCGTTTTCCCACCTGTAAAAAGGTTTCATGCCGCCTCCTCCCCCCTCCCCCACAGGGCCGGGCGCTCCCGTCGAAAGAGTCTCGGCGGGCCCTAAAATGGCGTGTGTGAGGGTAAGAAAAGCCGGCGGGACGGGACAGCGGCGAACGCGGGCGCCTGCCTCACCTGCTCGATAGAAGACGTCGAGTACGGCCGTGTCCCCGGAGTCGAGCTCCTCGAACGGCACGCTGCGGAGGTGGACGCCCTGGGCCTCGCAGGCACCGGCGAGGCACCGGAACGCCTCCCCCTCGTAGGCGCCCACCGCGCCCAGCTCGCCGGCCCCGCAGTCCTGCGAGGAGCCGTTGCAGACGTACACGGCCCTCAGGGCCCGCCGCGACCCGCCGCGGCCCGCCGCTCTCACGGCCGCCCCGTCTGGCCCCGCCGGTCCCGCCGGCCCGGCCGCGCCCTCCTCTCCCTGCGATGGCCGGCGCTGTGGGGGCCTGGCCGCCGCCCAGAGCGCCTCAGCCGGGGGTCTCCCGCTGCGGCTTTCCATCGCACCCCCGGGTGAGTAGCTGGCGGCTGCGCTCGCGGCGGTCCACGAGTTGTCCGGTCACCTGCTCCTCGGGAGTAGAGGTGAGTCGCGCGCGCGCGCCAGATATCTCGCGCCGGACGCTCTAACGGTGGGGCCCCCTAGCGCGGGAACTAGACGCAAGGGGGTTAAGACGTAAAGGGGTCTGGGCACGCGGCGGGCGCGTGGTGGTCTGGGAGGGCTGGGGGGGAGGGGCGGGGGCTGGCTCCAGGACGGCGCCCCCTGCAGCGACGTGGCGGGGAGGGGAGTGGATTCATCAATTTCACGATTTCGAATGTTGCCGTCTCCCCGGCCGGCCAACTTTTGTCTTTCTCGATAAAATTTGACGATTTTCAAATAAAGTGAAAACTCCTTCAGAGCGCCGGTTCGATGCAAGTAATAGTCAATTCCAACCTAGAGATGTAGTTTTAATCCAGAATTGAGACGAGATGATGCTTACTTAAAATGCCTCCCATTTTGTACTTTTTGTGCCCAGTTGCCAAGAGCATGGCCCTTCTGAGCCCACTTCTGGAGGCCTGCTCCTCTTGATTTTCACTGTGAACTTGACAAAAGTACCGGGATGCACCCGCATCAAATTTTATTTGCCTAGAAAACAGACTCCAAGTGGGCAGCTGTCTGTCCCACCTATGAAATTCTGTGAACCCACAGGAATCTTTACTCCGGATAAACCCGTCTCGCGATTTTGGCCCAAATGTTAAAAAGTAGTATTACCACTGCAGGTGGTAGTTGTATTTAATACTCAGGAGCGCTGTTTTCACAAGTTTGGGAGGGCTTGTTTCCATTTTAAACAACAGTTTAATGGAGACATAATTCACACACCATCCAGTTCACCTGTTTAAGTGGTTTCCAGTGTATTAACAGAGTCGAGCATCCATTACCACAATAAGTTTTAGACCATTTTAATCATCCCCCAAGCCCAGCGCCCATTAGCAGTCACTCTTCATCCCCCGCAAAACACCTCAGCCCTAGGCAACCACCAATCTACTTTCTGTCTCTACACATTTGCTGTTCTGGACATTTCACATACATAGAACCAAACGATGTGCGAATAAAGGTTTTCATCTATCATGGGTATATACGTATTAATAGGATTTCTGGGTCATACAACAACTCTATGTTTAACCTTTAGAGAAACTCACTGTTTGCCAAAGTGGCTCCACTATTTTTCATTCCCACCAGCAGGGTACAAGTTCTAACTTTTCCATACTCTCATCAACACTTATTGTTGTCTTTCTGATTATAGACATCCTGACGGGTACGAAATGGTATCTCACTGTGGTTTTGATTTGCATTCTCCTGGTGACAAATGATGTTCAGCATCTTGTCATGTGCTCATTCCCCATTTGTATAACTTATTTGGAGAAATGTCCATTAGGATCCTTTGCCCATTTTATTTTTTTTAATAATAAATTTTATTTAGTTACTTTTCAAGTACATTTTTTTATCTATTTCTCCCATCCCACACCCCCCCTGTCTCCCCCCTCCCTCCAATTTCCCCTCCCCCAGTCCTCATCCCTGTGTCTTTCATACTTGTTCCTCAAAATCCCTCCCCCTTTTTCCCCTTAAATTCCCTTCCCTCTCCCCTCTGGTCACTGCCCACTTGTTCTCTATTTCAGTGTCTTTGTTTTTATTCTGTTTGCTTGTTTGTTTTATTCTTTAGCTTCCTGTCAAAGGTGAGATCATATGGTATTTGTCTTTCAATGCCTGACCTATTTCACTCAGCATAATGCTTTCCAGTTCCATCCATGTTGTTGCAAAGGGTAGTAGCTCCTTCTTTCTCTCTGCTGCATAGAATTCCATTGTGTATATGTACCACAATTTTTTGATCCATTCGTTTATATCATTAGCTATCAGAGAAATGCAAATTAAAACCACAATGAGATACCACTTTACACCAGTCAGGATGGCTATCATAAACAAAGCAACAAACAACAAATGTTGGAGAGGTTGTGGGGAAAAGGGGACCTTAGTTCACTGTTGGTGGGATTGCAGACTGGTACAACCATTATGGAAAACAGTATGGAATTTTCTCAGAAAAATAAAAATCGACCTGCCTTTTGACCCAGCAATTCCACTGCTAGGATTATATCTTTGCCCATTTTAAAACTGTGTGTTTGTCTTTCTATTATTGAGTTGTAAAAATTCTTTCTATATTGTGAACACACATCCCTTATCACAATTTGTGATTTGCAAATATATTCTCCCATTCTCTGGGTTGTCTTTTTACTTTCTTGATGGAGTCCTTTGCAGGACATTACACGCCATTTTGATACAAGCAGGATAGGACTTACCTTATAAAACATTTGGCTTTCCTTCATGTTGCAGTTTAGCCCTCCAACCCCCCCCCCAAAAAAAAGCAGAAACTGCCAATATAAATATTTGAAGAAATGCTACCCTAATTTCACTTCTGGTAAGAATTAGGAAGTTCACGAGTGATATTAAAGCGTACCCTCTACTGTGGCCAGTGAATGGAAAATGGGCCCTGAGGAAATCTGTAAAGACACAAGGACCACAATTGGGACAAGGAAGCTAGGGAAAACTTTGAACACCTTTGTTCTAAGATTTTAAAATATATGATGCTATAAAAAAGACATATTTTCTTTTTAACCTTGTAATGCCTAATAGTTATTTTCCTAATGTGCCTGTTCATCTAAGATTATTCCAATGACTGGAACAGCCTTCAGAAAGGCAAAAATGCCCATTTCACAAATGCTTGCCAGTATCTTGCTTTCACCCCCTACTTCAATCTTCCCGCATTCCTTCCAGCTCTCACTGGGGCCCTGCTGAGTGAGACACACAGGGTTTGTGAGTTTTGGCTTCGATAATGTCCCCTCTAAACACAAACTCTGCTGAGTAAAAAAAAGCCCAGCATTCACCCAGCTAATGAGCACCTTCCTCATAGGTGACCTGGGTGCACGCAGCCCACCTTCTCATTGTCTCCAGTAATTTGCACACCTGAAACAGACCCCAGCCACTTCCTATGTCCTTCCTACCCTGCCCCAGCCCCACTGAGGAGAAAATTGTAAAATGCTGTCCTTTCTGTTCAGTTGAACGATTGTTCTGTTCTGAACCCTGCCTCGCCCCTTCCTAAATGCACATCCTGGAAACCACTTTGCCCCAGCACGGAGGTGTCATTTAGATGAGAACAGTGGTAGATTGGAGGCAGTGTAGCTGAAGACTCAGAGTAAATCTAGGCATTTTCCTTGTTTCCTTTATTTTATTTTAGGTTGGTTATTCATACCAACCTTGGTCAAACACGTTAGTTCTTTGACTCACTTAACCTTATAAAAATATTTTAGCTACCTTTCTAGTGGCACCTTCATTACTTTTTTCATTGTACCCAAGGTCCTAAAGCAAATAGTGACAAAAGAGAAACAACCAATTTGTACAATATTATATGTCTGTAGTGGAAAAAGTTTTATATAGGAATTCAACATGAATTTATTGAGCACCTATTATGTGTTGGGCATGGTTTCAGTGCTCAGGATAGCATAGTGAACAACACAGCCAAGTCCCTGCCATCACAAGAGAGAGATAGATGCATATATGCACACATATGTGTATATGTGTGTATATACATATGTGTGTATACACACACACAGAGATGGCTATAGATAAATATACCTGTGTATATGAGACAGGATAGTAAGAAGTTAAGAAAATTCCTTGGCAAGTGGAATAGCGAAACACAGATAGCTGAACACAATGGTCCGGCAATTTACAGCACGGTGCAGATTGTCACCAGGGTAGAAGGCCCCCAGTGCCTGGCAAGTGCTCGGGGTAACCTCTTCACCCCCGGCCTTTCCTCCCTGGAGATAACATCTAGGCCTCAGTTGTATTTCAGCTCCAGGCCCAGAGAAGCAGCAAAACCAGGTAGGTGACACCAGGATAAACTGCAATGACTAAAGACTCCCTTCCTGCCCTGTCACAGACCAGTCAGCGGAGACCATGACACTGAAAGAGCACACCTGGAAAACACAGCAGCTTTCCAAATACCACATGTTTTAGGTGATACCCCCCCTTTCCAGACCCTGTAATCATGATGTAATTTCCAGGCTACTTACTTACCACCATGATTCTCTTCTAGAAGATTCCCTATTTGTCTCTATTTCTGTTTTGTGTGTGCAAAAGCTATTTAAAATTGAACATTTTTATTTTGAGATAATTGTAGGATCATATGCAGTTATAAGAAATACAGAGAGATCTAGTACTTTAGCGAGTTTGCCCCAATGGTAGCATCTTGATAAACTATAGTACTGTCACTCCTAGGACATTGGTATTGATACAATCACAAAACAGAAGAGTTCTGTCACCGCAAGGATCCCTTCTGTTGTCCTTCCAGTGCCACACCCATTTCCCTCCTTACCCATCGTACCTAACCTCTGGCAACCACTAATCTGTTTGTGATTCCTACAATTTTGTCATTTTAAAAAATGCTATGTAAATGAAATCATACAGTATGTAACCTTTTATGATGGTCTTTTTTCTCCCAGCATCATTCCCTTGGGACTCATCCAAGTTGTTTCATGTGTCAGTAGTTTGCTCCCATTTGTTGCTGAGCACTATTCCATGGTATGCATGTTCCATAGTTTCTTTAACCAGTCACCCTTAAAAGGACACCTTGGTTGTTTTCAGTTTGGGGCTATGAATAAAACTTCTATAAACGTTCTTGTACAAGTTTTTGTGTGCACATAAGTTTTCATTTCTCTGGGGAAAATGACCAGGAGTGTCAACTCTGAGTCAGAAGGTAGTTGCATGTTTAATTTTTTTAATTTTTCAATTATAATTTATATTCAACATTATTTCTTAAAGGTTTTATTTATGTATTTATGTATTTATTTATTTATAGAGAGAGGGGAAAGGAGGGAGAAAGAGGGAAAGAAACATCAACATCTGGTTGCCTCCCATGCACCCCCTACTGGGGACCTGGCCCACAACCCAGACATGTGGCCTGACTGGGAATC